AGATAATACATTGGAACCAAAGTCAAGGGGAGATGTGTTGGATGATCCACTATGAATTGGATTGAGAAAGAATTGACAAACAAGGCATGTGAAAATTTATTGCCGTGGTTTCTAAACCACCACCCAACAAAGTTCTACTAATGGAATTGAATTGAGCTGCGTCAATGGTTGGTGCAAATGCATTCAATGTTTGTGTGGTTGGGTCCACCACTCTTGTGTGCTAATTTATGGTGGTTCTGGTCTCTCCAACCAACTACTACACAAACTCATAGTGAGCTCCAGCTGTTTGTTTTAATTTTAATTATTTGCCACCTCCTAAAGCTTTATCCGTTGCTCCAATTTGACTAACTCAGCCCCTCCTACATTATCCACTTCAGTACCTCATTAATTTGATGATTCCAAAGCTTTAAAAAAAAGTTAGTACTACTACTACTCCTAATAGGCTTAGTAGGAATATATGTTTGGTGTCCACTGTTCAAACATCAGAATACGGTCTGAAAAGAAGTTTCTTGGCAAGTGAGGGTTCCTCCAACTGAGCCAAAAAGGAACGGAAGGAATTGATTTGAAATTCTAGTGTTTTTTCTTAAAAAAAAAAAAAAAAAAATAGTGGTGTCGGTTTTCATCATCTCTGGCTTCCATTTTGAGTCGTGGAATTTGGCTATATAAAGCCTTCACCGTGAAACTTCGGGTCTTCGTATCAAAATCTTGCCTTCTAATCACAGTTCTGTGTTCTCCTTGGCCAAGGATCCAGAAAATGGGAGGAGGCAACGGCCAGAAGTCGAAGATGGCTCGTGAGAGGAACATGGAAAAGAATAAAGCCGTCAAGGGTGTGAGGAAGCTGATATTCCAAGTCATTTTTTTTCTTCTATATTCTTTGATTTATTGATATTTCACTCTCGGTGATGAACTTCTTCGTTGTGCAGGAAGTCAGCTGGAATCGAACAAGAAAGCCATGACAATCCAGGTGAGGTTCTTGGATTTCACCTGTTGATTTTCATTACTTCTTAATCTGATTCTGATGCATGTTTTTCTGGGGTTGCAGTGCAAGGTATGCATGCAAACATTCATCTGCACAACATCGGAGGTCAAGTGCAGGGAGCACGCCGAAGCGAAACACCCCAAATCTGATATCTATGCATGTTTTCCCCATCTTAAGAAATGAATAAGAGAAAGACAGTACCTGAGAGTAGGAACGGACAACTTCAACGGCAGATTCACAGTTCCGCCTCAGTGATCATGTTGTTAAAATGTAGGGTCATATGCAGCAACTAATATGGTGTTTTATGTAACAACTAAATATGAAATATTCTCTTATATGAAAAATGAAAAATCCATCTGTGCGACTCTTGCATAATCTGTTACAAATTGAATTCATAACATCAAAGGGACTACAAATTCGTAAATATCGTTATACATGCATAAAACATTTTCTTTGAATAAGCGTTGATATTGTATCTGGGAATGAAATATAGAGTAGATATTGAAACGTAAACGATGAACACCAGAAACGGGTACAGAATCCAGCAATTAAAATTCATTTTGCACTCTACTGAAAAGAAAGGCGAAGAACATGTTGTACACCCAAAAAGAAAAAATTTGTTACAAGATCCTCTAAACTGGATTGTCTACCAGAAACCAAATGTATGGTACAACCCAAACAAACAGCTTAAGTGGTGCGCAAGTCTGAATGACACCACTCCACCATAGACAATGGTTATTGTGTCCGCATTCTGCTGTTCTCTGCTGATCTGACTTGGGCGAAGTATGGATGGGCCTGGGACAAGACAATAACAGGCAAATTTTAGAGTACTTGCCATAAACAATCTTAAAGGAAATATTCTGCTAGATGATGCACTGCATAACTGCAACCGTTTTGTGAATGAACTATAAATTTTAGAATTTTAAGACTGGTCCGAAGAACATACCATTGCCTCTTTGGCTGTAAGCCTGTCCTGATGATCATAGCGAAGAAGCTTATCCAGAAAATCAATGGCCTGTGTTGACAGTTGACACCAAATAAAAGTTCAAATAATCTGCAATATTGTGTACGATACAGTATGCAAGTCTAAAGTTCACCAAGGACAGAAAGTAAATAACCTCTGAAGAAACTAGATGCTGATTATCTGTATTAATGAATCTGGACCATGGTTTCCGACTATGCCTGCAAAAGAAAAGGATAAGAATATTTACTCAAAGTAGCTTGCAAGAGAAAATTACTTCTATGCATTCCCTCTACCAAAAAGAAAAATAAAAAAATTATCAAAGAGACAAGAGGACTCAGATCATCATTTATAGTGAGCAGTGTGTACTAGCTGCTTTGAAAGTAGCAATATCCAAGACACATAATTGCATCTTGAGAGCCCAAACCCCTTTTGCAGTCAATAATTATTTAACCCCAGACCTATCCCACCATATGCCTTTGCAACTTGCCAGCATAGAGCATTATTTAGCACTAAACACAATTGAGCTTGCTATACCTTCCCACCAGAGCTTCAAGCTGTGGATCCAGCTCCAACTGATATTTGCTCAAATATGCATTTAACTCATCTGTCCCAAGAACCTGAAGGAAAAAGCATTTGATAACAGAATAAATCATACAACGATTTATTAGGTAATGCAACCAATAATACATTGAACTTTTGTTCTTATACTAAATAATAACTTCTATTCTCATAGCTATTCCCTGCTTCTATGCAAAAATAATATGATTATCCCATCAGGGAAAAACAGAAGTTGCTCTACATGCTAGACCATCAATGCAAGATTGTCAACTACCAAAAAACTATTGGCAAGGAAGTACCTGCTCCTTATACCAGTGAAAACAATGGACAAGGAAGACAAAGAAACAAACTTTATCTTGTGTGACAACTAAAAGAACCTCTAGATACCCTTTTTTTTTGGCCTTAACCTATAGATACCTTTTATTCTAGTTGAAAAGAGTTGCAATAGCATTTTTGAGACAGAAGGTAAAATGACAAATACCTTAGCAATTTTGACAAGCTGATCATGATTGTCATGACCATAAAAGAATGGTTCTTTGCGAAAAATCTGCAGGGTTATAAAATGAAGAAAAAAGGAATACAATGTCATAACCAATCATTCTTTCCACTGTACTACTCATTAATTTAAATAAAACAATAATCAACAAGCAGTCAATCATAATGCTAACCATTCCAGCAAACATACAGCCTAGGCTCCACAAGTCCATTGAATAGTCATAGTCTTGCAAATCAACAAGGAGTTCGGGCCCCTTAAAGTACCTGAACACCAGTAGTCCCCAAGTTAATTTATCATCAAACAAGCGAACATTTTTTCCTAGTTGACAAAGCAACGAGATAATCTTCATCATTGTGAATTGAAATTAAAATTGTTTTCAAGTCTAAAACTTAAAAATTTGAATTTCTACCCATGACCTAAGTCCGTATGTACAAGATCAATTAATGAACTAATGTTTATTTTCAGTAAAAACAATAAAATTTTTTCAGGAAATGGGTTGATAAGAACACTAATGAAATACCTTGAAGCTACTCGAACATTGTATTCTTTGGCAGGGTGGTAAAACTCCGCAAGACCCCAATCAATCAAGCGAAGTTTCCGCAGCTCATGGTCAATCATGACATTGTGAGGCTTGACATCTCTATGCATTATGCCTTGTGAATGGCAGTAATCAAGAGCCTGAGATTACAAACAACCTCGAGTAAATAAAAATTTAAAATATATATATTTTGGGTGGACAGGACCAGGTAGATTACCTTGAGAAGTTCATATATATAGTAGCGGATGTCATAATCAGTCAGTGTTGGATACAGAACTTTAAAATCTGTACTGTTCACATATTCAAAAATCAAGCTAGGAGTTTTTGAGTGCTGATCCCTGACAACATCAAGCAGCTTTACAACATTTGGTCCTCCACAAAGATTCTGGAGTATTTTTATCTCCCTCTTTATCTGCATAAGACCAACATAATTTAGTCAACTGATTGCCTCAAGTTAAAATGATAAGCTAAAGCTAAATAAAGTAATTAGAAATGCATTCACCCATATAAATTAAAGTCATAAAGATTTACAGAAACAAAAGGTAAGCTTTTAGAAGCTCATCAATCACCTCCAATGACGGGCTGTGCCTACAATTATATCCATTTGCAAGAATTAATTACTACCCTGCTTAAAAACTGAAAATGCAGACAAAAGGATGCTCTTTTGGGGGGGATGCAAAAGGTAAGCTTGATGTGAGAATAGAGGAGAGAATGTCCACGTTTAACTTCAAAAAAGTTTCATAAACCTCAATTGTTAAAATTTATAACTTCTAATGTTAATTATTGCCTGATTTACACGATGTCAAAGTTCGTAAATAGACTTCTATAAGTAGCAATTTTCAGCTGAAATATGCCACTACATACATACTTATTTATTTCCCAATAGTATCCCGACATCCATACCGAACTCATTAGGCCCACCTCTACAAACTAATATACATATTTCACCGTGGAAAGCAAACCTTGAAGGAATAAGAACTTCGGAATAACAAATTTTATGTTTAGCCTGAATCCATACCCAATTCAACGTGCAAAGAAGACTAGTATAGAAACATCACCTTCTTTTTCTTGACTGGTTTGAGGATTTTGATGATGCATTTTTCATTGGTGGGAACACTTATACCCTCAAAGACCTCACTATATTTTCCCCTTCCAACTTTTCGAACGACCTCGTAGTCATCTTGATCACTGAAACGCCAAATCAGTTCAAAAACAAAATCAAACAACACAATCTTCTTAACAACAAATATTTCGCTCAAATCCACATGAAATCGCAAGATTGAATTCTGCGAAAAAATCAAAATCAACAAAATTAGGGTTTGATTAGGGTTTTCGTGGTTTACCCCCATTGAACGGTGAGGGACTCGTAATCCCAGTAATCCCTGGGGCGGTGGACGTTAACGTCAGCGTAGACACGAGCCCTCGACATGTCAGTGTGATCCTCGGCGATGCCTAACCTCCCTTCTTCTTTAATGCGGCCGGGCTTGACGATAGTGAAAGACGCAGAAGACGGTGCTGAATCGGGTTATTGCTTCTTCTTAAATCCTCATTTTCCTGTAACGCGAGGGGGGGAGTGGACCATTATTTTATCTTTATTTTACTATTTATGCGTAATTACATATATGCTCCTACACTTTTTAAGTCTTGATCAATTAGGCTTTCAACTTATTAATTGTCACACTTGAATCCATATCCTAGTTTCCTTTTCTCATTTTAGCTTTTTGACTTGAGTGATACATAATTTGAACTTGAACAGTCCCCTAAGGACATCCCCAAGGTGGCTTACCCCATTGGAGACTACTTTTATCGGAGACCTTAGGGTAACCTACCTATTAGTACCATTTTCAACTCTTCATTAGGACCTTTTCTTTCCTTAGTTTCTTTTCAATTTAAGAATATAGCTTGAATAATTAACTTTCTCTCTTCTCTCTCTCTTCTAGAACTCTCCAGCAGTTGCCTCAAAACTTCTCCAATTTTCATCCCCTTTTTGGGTGCTCAAAAGCCTCCAGCCTTCTTGAGCTTTTGATGCGTGAGCAGTCGGATGGCTTCTCCAGTATGGTGGAGTCGGTCAACCGTGCTCCTATATCCAGTGACCACTTTAGATGATCTGCCAATTCTTTTTGTGGCTTTGTTGGTAGCATTGGTTCTCTTTTCTTTATATTTCTTGTTCCTTGTTTTAGTTTGCTTAGATTTGGCAACCAACAAGCCAATCATGAAGAATTTAGAAAATGGTCGCCACTTGCTCTAATGTTCCAACCACGGCATCCTAGAGAATAGACGTAATTTATGCAAAAATAAATGGAAGGGTGTCCAATTCTCTGGAATGGTCGACTAAAAAAATCTGTCAAAATCTGTTTCCTTAGTGGTTGTTCGTGTTAAATACTCACTGCCCCTCTTTTATTTGTCTTATGTTGAGTTTGATTTACTTTTCATCTTCTCTTCGGTTGTGCTTTATCTGTTTATAATTTCTTTTTGTCAATGAAATTGGAATTTCTTATGTAGATGTGGCATGATTTTGATGAAATAATGTGCTTTTCACTAAGTTCAAAAAGAATATAGCTTGAGTATGGTAATAATATTACTATAATTGTTGAGGAGTTTTTCATCCGTCTCTTAAACATTGAAGGATAAATTTTAAAAAAAAATAAGTTAAATAAAATGATATAGGTAAAAATAAAATGACATTTGAAGACTCATGGTAAGAAAAGTAATAAAAAAGTGTTATCATTGTAGAGAAGTCAAACCCCACATTTATAATTAGCTTTGTACAATTGACGAGACAATTCGAAGTCTAAAACTCACCCCACATTTATGTAATTTTTTTTTTTATATCTAGGTTATTTTTTTCTTATTTAGATTGATTATACAAAAATATAATTTTTTTTAAAATCTCTTTATGTCTTATTTAAAATTTAAATTTAAAATTTTTAATTTTTAATCATCGGATCAACTTATTAAATTACAACATTTATATAATTAGAGACCTATACATAGGAAAAGTTAGCGGTAATCACTAAATACCCATCTACCTAAAAAAAAAAAAACAACGGAAACGAGGATTGGATGGTTGAACCCATCCATAGGCAACGCCGCAGCTTTGCTGCGGATTGAATGGCCAAGAATTGAACCAAAAGGTATTTATGAAACGGCACCTGAAAATTTTCTCCAGCTCCTTAATGGCTTTTGCTTTGGGAGTTGACTAATAATTTTGTTCGGGCCTTGCCGCCGATTGTACAAAAAAAAAAAAAAAAAAATCTCCAGCAAGCCTTCAACAGAGCCCAGAAATGAGCGGCAACTCCATGAGAAGCTTGAGCCACCGCTGCCTCCTCCGCCTCTCTAGTAGGCTTTCGGATGTTCACTCTCTGGCCAAATCTTCTCCCCACCAACAACGGCGGTTCTATTGGTCCCTTCAAAACCTCATGAGCGGAATCAATCATCCCAACATTCCTCCTACCGTCAACAAAATCCCAGGAATCTCATCATCAACGTCATCACCGAAGGTTGGGCCTTTGGGGTGGTATTTAAGCAAGCTTGAATCTAAACCGCTAATCACCAAAAGCGTCACCACTTCTCTAATTTTCGCTGCTGCCGATATCACTTCCCAAGTAAATCTTTATCGAACTATAAAACATTAATTATTAAATTAAGATAAAATTCGAGATCCTATTGAATGGCTAGTACACCGAACTTTTATAATGTATAACCTTATTTTGTCGACATTAATTAATTAGATTTCTCATTGATTTAAAGTAACATCTTTTTTTAGATGATGCAATCATCAGCTGGTTCATTCGATTCAATGAGGACATTACGGATGGGTGTATATGGTTTGCTGCTTTTAGGGCCCTCACAGCATTTCTGGTTTAATTTTTTGTCGAAACATTTACCAAAACGGGACTTGTTGACAACCATGAAGAAAGTTCTCATGGGGCAGGCTCTGTTTGGACCTCCCAGCACCTCTGTTTTCTTCTCCTACAATGCAGCTTTACAAGGTAAAAAAACATTTAAGGGTATCAAATTTTTATTGTGAATGCAATACCAGGAACTTGGATAACTATCATTATGTGCTACTCCGAACTACATTTAGGCTAGAGTTATTATCTTTAATTTTGTTAAGGTCACCCATTATATCTATAATTTTATTAGTTTGTAATTTTTTTAAATATTAATTATAATATTTTAAAATATTATTTTATTAATTATTTTTAACAATTTAAATAAATTTAAGGATGGCCTTAACCAAAGCCCTACGTTTAGGTCCATTCTGCCTTTTGTGCTTTAGATTGGTTTCACATCTCTTGGCCCAATATGTTCCTTGGGTCAATGCATGTTGCTTAAACAGCAGAAGCATGGTTCCAACCAATGGCGTGTCAGGGGCCTGCAGCTCTGTGAATGTTGTCTTGTTTGGCAGCTGTTTAGTTTTAATTTTATGTCAGGACCCTTCCTTGTGTTTAGGAATCTGATTGTGTAGCTTGAGCTGTTCAAATGTTCAATACTTATAGTTCAATTCATCAAACAACGTCAAAAAGAAGTTCAACATATACGCATTGTGTCCAATTTCTAGCTTTCAGGGCTTTCTTTCTATTGCCAATTTGCTCATGCTTTCTATTACTTCCTATATGTTATGGTGTCATACTCAGGTGAAAGTGGTGATGAGATTGCTGCTAGATTGAAGCGTGACCTGCTTCCAACATTGATGAATGGTGCAATGTATTGGCCATTCTGTGATTTTGTTACATTCAGGTTTACATTTGTTCATCTGCAGGTACATCTGATTTTAACTCCTACCCCTTAACTACCCAAAAAAAAAAAAAAAATCCTTTTGAATATAAGAAAATTGATTGTAAATTACTAGCTTATACTCAATTTTGTTAACTAACACATTAGGGATGCTTGTTGGCAGCCATTAATGAACAGTTCATGTGCATACCTATGGACAATTTATTTGACATACATGGCAAGCTTGAAAATAGTCAGCGTCGAGTAGCGTGGGATCTTTACTTCAAGTCCATATTATGTGCTTTTGTAGGTTAGATAATGAAAAGAGGAGATTTCTGAGCAAACATTAGCATCAGATTCCACTAAATGGCATTTGTAAGATCAAGCTTCGTAGTTTTTTCCTTTTTCTTGGGCCAAATCCCAAACGTTTATGGTCAAATTATCCCTTGACTTGGTGCAATCAGAGAATGAGCAATTCCACAACAGCACATGAAAATTTTGTTGTACTAACTTGAAAATAAAAAGATTTTGGTCTTTCTGATTTGTCCCCTCTTTGTTGTCCCATTCTTTTCTCCGACTCAAAAAAAAAAAAAAAATCCAAATTGGATATTCAAGTTGAAACTTGAAACTCTTTTTTTATATTTAAAAAAAACCTGAGACATATAAATGGAAAAAAAATAGGGATAATACTGAAAATCTAAGAAAAAAAAGATCATTTAAAAAAAAAAAATCTAATTTCTAAAACCATACTTAAACCTTGGGGTTAAAAGGATCTATCATCCATTACAATCCCATTTCTAGATAAAAATGGGTACGGTTTAATTTGAGTTATAATCAAAATTTAATTATTAGTTAGTTAAAATTTTAAGTTTTAAATTCTAATAATTATTAATCGAATTTTGAAGAGCGAGATTTTTGTTGCACTTTTAGTGGTAATTATTTAGATTGATTTTAGTTTTAATTAAAAAATAATTTTTTTATTTTAAATAATTTTTAATTTTTTAATTATTATTTTTATCACTAAAAAACTAAAATTTACTCAAATAAATAAATAATTTAATAAAAAAAAACCTTTAAAATTTTTAAAAACCACTAAAGATATATTAAAAAGTTTTTAAATTAAAATTTTTAATTATACTCATCTTAATTACCAATTTTTAAAATTTTAAATTTAATAACTAAAATTTTAATAATTTAATATTAGTTTAATTTAATTTTTAATTAAATAAATTCAAAACTCTGTTAAATTCTATCAGTCAATTACATTTTTTGTCAAATTTTAGATTTTTTCTGGTTCCAAAATTTTTTGCCCACCCTATTCCCCGCCCTTGACCCCTAGGCTCAAGATATTTTCTGCTTGATCTGTAGGACCCACTGTCCAGAGGCGCAGGATAGCTTTTTGTTCCGAAAGGACGGCTACCCACTGCGTAATTGACACGTAGCCGCCTCTGTGTCCTTGCACGTAGCCCGGACTACAGTATTTCCCTCCCCCTCACACTCTACATTCCGCGTTTACACCACGCGCCAATTTATTTTTCCTCCTCCTCTCTACTCACAACCCACGCGCCACTACTGTCGTCGCGGGAAACTTCAACTGCAGGCAGACTCGTGGACCCCAAAAATAATACCATCTCACGTGGCCGTACGATGCAAGGAAGTGATGTCCCAATCCGCAATCCCCACGTGGGACACGAGACGAAGCAACGCGTCAATTATTTACGGGATTGCGTTGCAATCAAAAGGGCCACACAGTCATTGGATCTGGACAAGGCCCATAGGGGGGTTTGGCAGCCCACGTGGCGCAGTCTCGTGAGATCGCGTCATCCGCGTACGTTAGAGACGCTGCGAGGGCGTGCGTTTAATTCAGCCCTTCGTGGTCCTGAGGGAAGAACCAAGTTCAGGCGAAGGCCGGAGGGAGAGAGGTGTTGCCAAGTTAGTTACTTTCCGGCCACCTTAAACGTCGTTTTTTCTGTTAAATAATGTATACTTTTTTATGACTTTATTCAGGATTCCGGTGATGATTTTTTTTTTTTTGACGTTTTGGTTGCAGGGGAAGTTCAAATAGATTTTGTTTCGTTTGCAGCGGCAAATCTCCTATTTGTTTCTCTGGTGAATCCCTCTTCTTCGGTGTGAGATTTCACAGGTATTTGGTGGAGAATGCAGTTGCGCGATAGGAAGTTGTCGGCTCGGCTGAAGAAACTCTGGACCGGTGTGGCTGCGCGCCTTGGGTTCCGCAAGAGCGGTAAGTCTCCTCCCTTGTCTGGTTATTGTTAAATCGATCACTCCCCGTCTATCTACGGTCGCCGATTTGACTGCATTGTTGTCCGGTAGAAATTGAAGTATGTTCTGTTGTAGTGCCTTCTGTGAGATCATGATTTCACATTTGTTTTCTTGCTTTTTTTAGTCTAAGAATTTCAATTGAAACGAATTGGAGTGACTTGATTTGATTCTGGATTTTCTGGTCCACATTATCGAGATTAAATGCTAATGAATATTGTGAAAGTAATGATTAATGTTATGAGCATTACTTGGCAGCAATGTAGCAGCTCATTAGGTGCCAATCAGAAATCATAATTACTGCTCTTGCATTAAATCATAACTAAGGCTCTGATCTGTTTGTTAATATGGGTTTAGTTGAGAATTTTGGTAGGCTTGAGAGAAGCCTAATATTTCCAATGTGAATTCTTTGTCTCTAGGAGAAGGTAGGTTTCAATAGGGTTGCAGGGGCATTGACATAAACATATTGTCATGAAATTCTTAACCATTGGGGAATAATCCACTAGTTGTTGTTGGTGATTGTACTAGCTCAACTGTTCTTGGTATCTCTGTCCTTTTTTGAAAAAAAAGGAAAGTATGGGATACAAAAATACTTTAGTGAAAATCATCTAGAATGATTTCAATTTTGGTTAGTATTGCCATATTTATATTCAAGAATTTATGAATATGAAAGTTGATTTACTTGGACATGTAGAAACAAAATGAATGTTTAAAATACTAGTAATGATTTCTTTAAATTGAGTTCAGAAAAGGATTCGATGAACCCTTCTCTTTCCTTCCTTCTTGGACTAAATAGTAAAGGCCATAACTATTGGTGAATTTATGTTTTCCTTTCCTTTTTAATTTAGAATTTTTTGTTTTTAAAATTGGCAATTATATAGTTCCACAAGCACAAGGTTTGATTTGATGAATCATATCATGTTCGGGATCTTGCAGGGCTAGTGAAGCTGCGAAACGATGTGAGATCTTGTGAGTATGAAGATGTGCATGTGCTGTGGGAGATGCTAAAGAAAAGTGAACTAGAGCACTCCCCTCGGAAGAACAAGAAGGGACAATTTTGCAACTGCTTTGAGTGGGCTAAGCACTCATCTCTTCTTTCCCGGAGCTTCTGATCTTGTTCTGTTTCACCCTCTGAGTCAGCTTGCATCTAGTTTTCTGTAGATAAAAGAGGCTCAGTGTGCATCCCTATCAGTTCTCCGGCCCAGTTAATATGGATGTTGCTTCAACCAGAATAAAAAGGAAAGGAGGATCTGTTACTCCTTGTGTGTGAAATAGACCCTCCTCCCTTATCGAGTTAAAAGTTTGTTGATATCAGCTGCCTACCAAATGACTGTGTTCCACTACTTCCTACCTTTGTGTTGTCTCCTATAAATAAATAAAACTAAAACACAGCATATCTGTTTCCATGATCATGCTTATATAAGATATGGTATCTACTTTATCTATGAACCTTGGATTTTGTCTTAGCCTCTCTTAAGCGTACTCTTTCTTTTCCTGGGTATTGGGTTGGTTGTATTGTATCCATTTTCTTGCAGGTGACTAGATGAGAGTTGTTAAAGAGACTATAGTTCACGAATAACTTCATATCGGAGGAAGAGGTGGTGTTTTGTAGTTTGTTTCGTGCGGACTACAAACACTAGTGACTACACCCGCAAAAGGGTCTCACAAACCATGTGGGTGGAAAACACTTTTTCCCGAGGGAAAGGAAAAGGTCCAAATTTTCTCTTCACTTAATTTCTGGATATGGAAAAATGAAGTGCGAGAGCATTAGTTAGTGTTGGAATTATCTTGGCTTTCTACCTCCATTTGAATTGTTCTGGGATGATTCTGCTAGAAATTAATTTCTTATTTGGTTGGGAGGCCAGATAATCTTATGTTGGATCATTACTTAAAAAAATAAACAATCAAATTTTGTTGGGAGCTGATGCGATCCCTTCTGTTTTAAAATTTAAAAAAAATGATAGAAGTCTTAATCATCTGATTTAGATTGATGCTCGTTGTACATATGTGTCTTTGCTTTATGTTTTCTTCCCTCCTTAATTGATATTAATTCAAACTAACAGGAAAGAAAAATCTAAAAAAAAATCACGTTTGGTATGTCTGATAGTCTGATTTGATATGTTTCGGAAGGTAAATGTTTCCTAACGATCTAGCTCGGCCATGTGAGAGTCCTTTTGATGGCACGCCTAACAGATTGATAAACTCTTCCATGTGCAACACAGACAAATTCAATCTCCTTTTTACGAGTTAGCCTCAACCGACATTGATGTTGGTGCTATACTAATTCTTTACCATTTATTTTAAAAATTCAACAATTAGTACATCATTTAAAATTTCAAAATAATTAAAAAAAATTTTAAATATATAATTAAAAATTAGTATACACTTACATGAGTTTTTTACACTTATACCAGCATAAATCAAATCGCTACATTTTTTTTATAATATATTTTTTTATATTAATTTTTAATATTCGATAATTATATTAGATCTGATTAATTAAAAATTTACTCACATTGAACTTCATAAAAAAAAAAAACCGTTTCAATATTAATTTTTTTATTTACAATACTTAAATTTAATATTTAAAAAAAAAAACACTAAACCTTCTCTGCCCAAACTAATAGATTCATGGGTTGTTTTTCTATAATTAAGTAAAGAGAAAAGTCAAAATCTTATTCCGAGAAATTTTAAAGGCAAAAGGTGCATATCACCCCCTTAACTCACCTACTGGTAGCAAATCACCCCTTCAACCCATTTCACGCGCATACTACCCCCTCAACTCACTTTCAGTGGCAAATCACCCCTTGGCACCATTCTTCCGTTAGCTTTTAACAGTCCGTTAACCCACCCCTTTTTTACGTCTGATGTGGCATTTTTTATGCTGAGATGGACAAGCCACCTGGACAAATCATCCTCAGGCAATGCCCGGTACTGCCGCCGACATCAACCAGGCGCTGGATCCCATCAAACCCACTGTAGGCTTCTAGCATTGCTTTCATGAAAGGCACAGAGACTCCCGACATAGCCTTCTGCATCAACCCAGTCATCTCCGGCCTTTATCCGTAGTAAGTGTACGCCGGCTCACCGTTCACCTTCACGAATGGTTCCGATGTCGGATCCACCACCGCCTCGTGAACTAATGGCCATGTCTTTATAAGGACTCGGCGACTCAGGAAGTGGTGTACGGCAGAGATCAGGGGGTTCTTGTCCCTCCGCCGCTGAGGTGAGCAACGTCTCCCAAAATCGAACAGCTGAGGTATTTGTTTATCTCCACGAGACCCCCTGATCTCTGCCGTACACCACTTCCTGAGTCGCCGGGTCCTTATAAAGACATGGCCATTAGTTCACGAGGCGGTGGTGGATCCGACATCGGAACCATTCGTGAAGGTGAACGGTGAGTCGGCGTACACTTACTACGGAAAAAGGCCAGAGATGACTGGGTTGATGCAGAAGGCTATGTCGGGAGTCTCCGTGCCTTTCATGAAAGCAATGCTAGAAGCCTAGAGTGGGTTTGATGGGATCCAACACCTGGTTGACGTCGGCGGCAGTACCGGGCATTGCCTGAGGATGATTTGTTCAGGTGGCTTGTCCATCTCAGCATAAAAAATGCCACATCAGACGCAAAAAAGGGGTGGGTTAACGGACTGTTAAAAGCTAACTGAAGAATGGTGTCAGGGGGTGATTTGCCACTGAAAGTGAGTTGAGGGGGTAGTATGCGCGTGAAATGGGTTGAGGGGGTGATTTGCCACCAGTAGGTGAGTTAAGGGGGTGATTTGCCACCAGCAGTGAGTTAAGGGGGTGATCTGCACCTTTTGCCAATTTTAAAATTTTGCTTTGTCAAATTTCAAAGTGATCACACGCGCACGCAATTATGTTGGACACCTATAATCCACTAATAATATAAAGTAATAATATAATCCAGTTATTGGACAGGCTCGAGTGCCTAATGGGCCAGCTTTCAGACCCATGACACTTAAAACACATATACTTTGGGCCCGAGGCTACTATAGTAATTTAATTTTTTATTTTGACTACCAAAGTCGGCACTATAATAATAAACGGAACACAAGAAGGGTTTATAGATTCATCGTCTTTGTAGCTTCACAGCGGCGGCAGCGGGTTTAGGGTTTCTTCTTCATCTCCGCATTCAACAGTCAGCCATGGGTCACTCCAACGTCTGGAACTCCCATCCTAAGAACTATGGTCCTGGTTCCCGTGCTTGGTATGTACCTGAATCCGATGCTGGATTCATCGATCTTCCTTCTTCAACTATAGCTTTTATTTGTTCCAATTCATGTTCCTGGATATTGCTGCTTTAATTTTGTATGAATTTTCATTTTACCCCTATGTGAGTTCCTCCCTATAAATCAATTAATCGTAGAAACTATTTGAAGTTTGGAGACTTTAATTGTCATGGCCTGCCCTTGTATTGAACATTGATTCTACATCATTTCCGTTTGTATAATTTCAAAGATTGTATTTCAGTTTAGATGGATTTTTCCGTAAGGTTTTTTGATTTCGAAGTGTTTGACGCATGTTGATATATTTTTTTTTAATTGACATTTCTTCATGGACATTGGCATTTGATATGGTTTTTAGTTGTATTTGGGATTAGTGGGCTAGTTTTAATTTTTCATTTGTTTTTTGTTCTGTTGCAGTCGTGTCTGTGGCAACCCACACGGGTTGATACGGAAGTATGGCCTGATGTGCTGCAGGCAATGCTTCCGCAGCAATGCCAAGGAAATTGGATTTATCAAGGTAAATTTGTTTTCTATTTTCTTGGAGGACATGGAGATCTTGTGTTCTTGCAATAACTTGTTTTAGGAACCTCTATCAATTTTTCTTATTATATGTTCCTTGATGACCTTCCTCCTTTCTCAACAATCAACATGATTTATTCTCGTGGTTCTAGTTTTTATACCTTGGGTGAAGTCTAATTCTTCCATTTAGTTTTATGATGCTCCTTCCTGTATGAGTTGCTTGGTTGAAATCATCCGAAAATTTTGGAAGAGGAAAATAGAATACATTTCCTCTTCTTGCAATCCCTCATTCACCCACCTACTTGCAATTTCTTGTTTTTGCATGGTTCTTGACTCATGTGCAGGAGGGTATTTTGATTTATTTCAGACTGGAACTTATTTCTTTTTGTCCTTGTTGTTCTTCACAGTACCGCTAAAGCACTGGACGCAATCAATCCAACACTTGTGGAGGGTTTTGTGAAGTGTAGCTGTTCTATTTATAATTGACATGATGTAGTTACCAGACTTGATGTTTTTGTCCATCTTGTTAGTCAATTTAGAACTCCACTAATATTGCAGATACTATTGAGACTTAAAAGTTTCTATCAAGTATTTAGCTTATATTTGTCAACTGTTTGACATTGTTGGTGTTGGAGCATCGTGATTAATTCAAGGTTTGTTATGTGGATGTTATGTTAGCTTGCGTTTCTCCTATATTTGATAATATGAAATTATGAATCATTCATCTACGTCTGATATGTACTTACCGTTAATTATGTTAGGCATCACTGAAGGCTTTAAACTTTCAAACTCCTAAAGATTTTTCTTTTAATTTGTTCCAAATGGATTGCTCTGAATCTTCAGATGAGGTCATAGCCCACTCCCTGGAATATGATCCGATGCCTACCTAAGTGCCCTTTTCTTTGCAACATCCTTGATTCTCATGTTACAGACAAAAAAACGTCATTACTTGATCTTTGTACCAAAATATGCCAAAGTGCATTCCATACCTCATTCCTACTAACTACGGTGGACAAGGAAACAGTGGCAGTGTATGACTTCGCTATTTGTCTCGTGGTTTTAGCGTCGTATGTTGCTGACACCGTGATTTTTTTTTTTTTTAAATGCTTAGGAGTACGAAAAAGTGTTTTGTTTAGACTACATGATTTAAACAATTGAGCTTGATTAATTATGTGAGAAAAACGAAAATTATGTTATTTTGATATTAAAAATATCAAGATATTTTAATTATAATTATTAAATATATAAAATATAATATAAGTTTTAAAATCATTAAATTTATTAAGTAATTATTAAAATGTTTGGGTTTACACATTAAGCAAAAAAAATAAATGTTGGTTTACTTTTCATGAGCCTCTTTCCAAGAAAGAACAACATTTTCATTTTCTCTTTGGTAAAATAAAGAACAACATTGTCGCACACTCAGTCGCGGCTCTGTCCGTCTCATGATTCAGCTCAGTTACATTGCACAAAACATAAATAGAAGAAAGCACATTGGAGGTGCGGGGAATCGAACCCCGTGCCTCTCGCATGCGAAGCGAGCGCTCTACCATATGAGCTACACCCCCTCGACGTTACCACTTGTTAAAAGTGGTTTTAGAATTTAAAATCATAAATCCAACTTAACACTATTTTCCAAATTGCTAGGCGGTCGAACTACACAGACGTGCCCAACCGCTGGCATTACATGCATTAAAGTCTCTTCATTCATTCCCCCACTCCTGCAAGGCTGAAACGGTCTCTCTATTCATGTCCCCGCATTGAAGTCTCTTCATTCCCACGCTTCTGCTTGTGTTTATCTACTTGTTCATTACAAATACTATTTTATCCCCTTATCCCTGCGGATTTTCTTGGTTTTGGTTTTTGGGGGAAAAATGGATAACTGTCTTATTATGGGTTAAGGTACTTACAATTTATAAAGGGTGTTAGGAGAGCGTCTTCAAGGGTCAACTCTTGCTTTGCTTTTTGAAGACATTACTGTTTTGGGTTTTTGTAGTTGGAAGAAGGGGGAAAAAGGTTTCCTCATAATTTTGACATTATGAAGGTTCTTGGCATCTACTCTTCTCTGTTTCTGTTTGGAATTGTTCTTCTGGTCCTCAGCTTCTCTGTTACAGAAGGTAGCTCCTTCAATCCAGGTAAATATTATGACTTTTGTTTCCTGTTTGTGTATGTATGCTTGCTTCTTGCTCTATGGGTAGTCAAAAGAAATGTGTGTTCAACGTAGGGCATACAGAAGGTAGTGATGCAACCGAATTACCGGTAACTTGTTTGACTTGTTGTGTTCCTGTTTGTGGATATGCCGCTTGCTTTTTGCTTCTTGGGTTGTCAAAACTCAAAAGAAATATGCACAACAGTGCAGAGCATGTGCAGGATATTGATTGCTAGCCAATTTCCTGTAAATATCTTGACTTTTCTTTCGTGTTTGATTTTCTTGCTTCTTGCTTCGTGGGTTGTCAAAAGAAAAGTTGTGTACAATGTAGTCCGTATGGAAATGTAGTTATTGCTAGCTAATAATTGATGTTTGTTTTTTCTTTTCTTTTCTTTTCTTCTTTAGTGTTTATTGGTCGCTTTAAGCATTTACCCCGTTTCTTTCTGTTTTTTTCTTGACTTAAGGGTAGACTAGGTAATTGAAATTGGTGAATTATTTTTTCTACGATGTCTGTAACTAGGTCAGTCTTGTAAGCATTTTGTGGTCTCTGAGCTTTGCAATTGTAGAGAAATTTATTTTGTTGACTTGAAATATAAGAGCTTATCCCAATAACAGAATTGCTTGTTGATTATACCTATCCATGATTCTGAAAAAAAAGATCACTTTCCACTTTCCAGAGTAGATCTCAACATGATTAATTGCAGCTTTTAAATGCATAGCTTGAATCAGTAACGCATATATATATATATTAATCCCCTTGAATGTCATTACAGATACGGCGCTTTCCCAACATGGCGGTGGTATGACAGCAGCAATCAATCGAAAATTGAAGGTATGTTTGCCTGAAAGGCAAAAGTCATTTGACCAATGCACATGTAGAAGCCATTATTTTGGTTGAATAATGGGATTTTTTTCTTACCTTTTTGCAGGGGCATGCCTATGATTTTGATCCAAGCAATGTAGATCTGGAAGATTATCATCCCGTCGATCCACCTCCAAGTTCAAAGGCTTCCATTTCACCAGGCCCCATCGTGCATGGTAGCCCTCTTATTCCATACATACCAGGGCCCTTACCTCCCGGTCCTCCCAATACTGGTGGATCCACTTAGCCTCCTAATGATCCATTTCTTAGTGAAATGCTAGAAATGTCAAAAATATATGGCTATGTAGCTTGTGTTTGATGTTTTTAACTATGTTCTCGATAATATTCTGTCCAGACAGTGAAATATAAAGTCCAGTCACAATCCAAAGCAACGTATTTGTAAGAGTGTTGTTTGACAATGACTAGTTCCTGTCTTTCACGTTCGAGTTTGACCAACAGGGAAATAACAAGCTCATTCTTTGTACTCTTTTGTTTCCCTGAACAAATTCCATTTTGTTCCAAAGGAACCATATGCTTCTATGAATCTGAAACTGTTATGATTGATCATGAAATCATTTGGAAGGAACTTTTTTCTTTACCCCAATCTTCCTCAAGCAAAGTAAATTACATGTCACCTTTTTGTTTATTATGTGTGTTTGATTAAATTCGCTTTTCCAATCTATCAAAGAGAGAACAATTTTCTCCACAATGACAGTACTTAACGGATGACGAATTACATTCACAAAGATGGCGAATCTAGCAGAAAAAACAAGCAAAAGACATGGGGAAACATCAATCATGTGTCACTGATTGTCCATGGGTGGGGGGACCTGCTTATATAAAGCAATCTAAAAACAGTGGTTTCTGTTAGGAGAGACCAGAAGGCCGATTAAGCATAATTTCTTCTTCTACAAGCTAATTTTAAGGCCAACCTTTTTGGTTTTCCCTCTCTCAATCAACATTCTTTTCACCAAACTCATTCTCCTAATTCTTTGCCCCCACAGCATTAAACACACAGGGCCATCCCAAAATAATGATTTGTAAAAACAGATTCCTTTGTGTAATCTTTTTCTGGGTTTTACTTACCCAAAAAAGATCCTTTCTGGGTTTGCATTTTGCAAAGTGCGAAGTAATTAAATATCATAATAAGTAGGCCAGTTGCACACTTTCTGAAATCATATTACTTAAACTAAAATTAGTCACTTTAAAACCAAATATAATATGAAGAGATGCTCAACTCATGACGTTTTCCGTCCCTATCATTTCTATCATATCGAACTCATCAAACATCATTGACAAAATTGTCCATTTTTATTTTTACTTCTTTATTTTTAATTTTTAATTTTATTTTTAATTTAGATAACATAAGTATTTAAACCTTTAACTTAGGTCTGTAAATTGTTTAATTCACAAGTAGCAAGTAGAACATCACCTTTCATGTTAGAATTATTTGTACCCAAAACCCAACTTTAAGGTTTCTCCATTTTCTAGTTTACATGAGTCACACTACTTAGATGCCATCCTAAATCAAGTCCAGTACCTTTTGCCTACTAGACTACAGGTGACTGATATCATTTGAGCAGCCTTCTTGCAGATTAAGCAACAGTAGTACTGGATGGGTATCTTTGTGATCTCTTTTGCTCTTCGAATCTTTTCATTTTCACCATTCTAATAACCCACAGAGATAGAGAAGGCAGCCTTGCCAACCAAATTCTAGCTGCAAAGGGGAGTGGTGCGGGACCCAAAAGATGGATAGACTCACATAAAAGCAATTGCAGAGGGGAAAAAAAATGGATGACAGACAGTATGGGACGGGGCATCCTAGAAAGGGATGCTCTTTTCGCTTAGCTGCAAAAGATCATAACTAAACAACGTGCTTCTGCCCTTTTCCTTCTAAAGTGGGAGCTTAGCTTAATTACTCCCTCCTTCTAAATGAACCAATGAAACAGTAGTCAATTAGGCTACTTACAACCCCCTTTCTTAACAATTTGTAATGCATCGTTGCCTTGGTTGTAATATGTAAAGTTGTTAAATAAATTTCCTCTTCTTTACATCCCTTTGTTATAAATGGTCTAAATAGTTCATTGATGGTAATTTCTTTTAAATGAAAATAAAAAATGTTAAATTCAAATGACACATATGTGGATAAATTTGGTTAAAAGATGAAAAAGAATTGTTTTTCATTAAATAACTTAAAATAAAAAAATGTATTTCTTTATTTACGTATATTCAATTTGAAAAAAGTAAAAATTAAAATATCTTAAATTCTTAGTACTTTAAATGTAAGGACTCCTCGTAAAATTAGTCAAATACCTTTTATGAACCTTTTTTTGTGTGAATTAATTCATTAAGAGTATTTTAATATTTTTATTATTAATTATAATATTTTAATTATTAAATATTCTGATTTTGCTTAATCTCTATTCAATTATTAATTTCACATTTGATTATTTTCACATTTGATTATTTTCACATGACCCTTGAATTACCTGTATCAATATAAATCATTTATATGAGAAAATGGTGAACTTTGATATTGACTTTAGAATTAAGTTTTCAATGATAATCATGTCGACTGATCACGGGTCGACATGATTGGAGTTGCCTGTGACAAAGGACAACGATAGGGCAAGGGATATTGCATGGAAGTAATGAGTATGGCATTAATTTTTGTGGAGACTGGCTAGAGAGTAACAATACAAAAAAAATGGAAGGTAGGAGGGATATTTGGGAAATGGAGTGCCAACGAAGGAAACATATATGCTTTTTGACTAGTGGTCCTTCCACCACATGAACACTAAAGGGGGATGGGATTGCATGTGTGAGTGTCGACAAAGTTTTATTCCCATCTCAAGAATTTCGCATTTGTGCTTCAATTCAACCTATAACTTCAAAAGAAATTAATCAAATTAATAAAGAGTACACTATTTTATAATTTAATTTGTATTGAATTATAAAATAAAAGTTAATATTAGAGAATTTGTCCTTATCTAATAATTATAGTTATAAAATTTGATACAATTCAGATTATACAATATTTTTTTATATCAACAACTTAATTAACTTAATAATTATTTCTTTATATTGCAAGTAAAAAATTTTGAATTTAAATTGTATGGTATATCGGTGATACGGGATAAGGATTGGAAATAATTATTTTTCATTGTGTAACTAAGATAAAAACATATATAGTTATTAATAAATCAAATTTAATATATATATATTTAAAAAAAACCAATTAGCTTCTACAAAATTTTCTTGGTTTTGGTATAAATTGAATCATTCTATTACTTGGTTCAACGTAAAAAGACCTCAAGGCAGTGGTTAAGTA